ATAGCTGTGCTTTCACGGATTACTACTCAGAGCAGAGTTGCCATTTAGGCTCAAATCATTCCTAGGGAATTTAAGAGAAGCTATCGATACATATATAAACTGCTGGCTAAAAATGTTTTCATGTACATATATAAACTGCTGGTTAAAAATGTTTTTTTGACATGTTAATGGGGTGTGGCACCCCCCTCCAAAAGCTGTGTGTGTCGATCGTGTCGATCGTCAAAGTTATCGTTTATCGCTTTAGATTCTAAAATTAAAGATAGATAACGAAAATATATACTAGCAGTCGTAGATCAATGGACGACGAAATGTGGGAAGATTGAGTCAAGAAGCTATGTTATGTCTCGCATACTTGATGAGTGAAGAAATTAACATGCAGGTTGCCATCTGTGGTAATTAACATACTGACAAAAGCAAGGTGGTGTTGAAGTGATGTAGAAATGAGATTGCCTAGCTTTCATTACCTGAGTGAAGTATATGTGAAGATGTTGATGTTGTCGGGAAGAGCTCTGACGCAGGCTCACTCCTCCTCCACGACCCCTATCGCAGCTTCAAGGGCTCTTATGTGAATAGGCCTGCCTAATACGTATGCCATCGAGAGATGGAACTCTGAAGTTTGCGCAATCATTCCCCCTCCCCTTATGAATGAAACAAGGAATAATCAGAATAATAATAAGAAGTAGTAGTAATTATAATCACAATTCATACCACAGTTCAAATAAATCGTTCCAGAAAATCGCCTGCAAGCTGGGAAGAATGTATGTGAATGGCAAAGTCATGCTCGATGTTGATTACATACTCAAAAATGGCGATTCCATACATCATTGGGGACATCGACATGAACATCCAGTACGTTTCTGTTCTCTCGTACTCGTTACCATCATGAATCACAGTTCTCATTGTGAGATCTGGGCTGATAAGTGAAGGCGCTAACTAAGACTTCACTATAACTCGAACCTAGGATGAGTGAAAATACGTTGCTAAGTCTCCTCGCATTTTTTTCTCGTCAACCAACTGAGAACCATCATTTGCAGACACTCGAAAACCACTTGGAAAAAAGCAGAAACACAAAGCACTTGTTTCCATTACTGCTTGAAAATTTGCTTGTTTTCTACTCGATTCTCTTTCTACTTGTAATGTTGCTAGGACAATCACAATCGGTTTCCGTTGGTAGCAACATATGTGTTTGGGAAAATGCTGTCAAGTATCTAATGAACTTGGTGAAATCGAGTTCTACAATGGAACTTTAGGAGTTGATTAACAGATATCAAAACAACTTCATGTAGCTCAGAGCAAGTTAGTCCTGATCAGTCTGGAAATTATTGTATGTCGAAGTTGTGTCAGGAATATACAAAAATCTCTCGGTGTTGTCTAGCTTGGGAATTTGTATGGAGTAGTACGTATTATTTTCGCTTATTTTGAATGCATTTGTTGTTTTCCTCTTCTTCCTTTTCTTTCCTTTCCTTCCTTCCATCAGTTCTTACACATGCAATTTTGAATAATGGAAGCACTCTGCAATCTGTCCCAACCGCCTTTCAGCAGTAAGAGGTGTATCCTGCGTACATAGATACTTATGTACGCGCGTGATTTGCCGCTCATTTGACTATCGATCATTACCTCCCGTTTCGGTGCTCGATCTGCCAATGAACGTAATTGCGGAGACAGATGATTTACTGGTAGTCGACAAACCTCCCTCACTGCCTGTACATGCCTGTGGTCAGTATGCTGTGCACACTGTGTTGGGTCAGCTGCGAGTCAACCACAATCGGACAGGGTTGAGAGGTACAGTTTTTCGCCATTGTCCTTAAGCAAGAAAGTCAGGCGTGTTCTTCCAGTTTTGCATCGTCTCGATAGAACAACGTCAGGTGTTTTGCTGTTTGCCAAGAATTATGAAACGGATTTAGAGGTAAGCAGATTTTCAAGTCAAGAGCAAAAGACATGTTTTTATTCAGTTTAAAAAGACGTTAAAAGATGGAAATTGGTCGAAAGAGTATGTTTGCAAGGTCGAAGGAGTTTTTCCAGAGTAAGGTGTTTTGGGCGTCATGGTTAGCTGTCATGATCATCAGCTTATTTTTTTTAGTGAAGAAGTAGAGTGTAACGAACCTATTGGCACGCTAG